ATATATATATATATATATATATATATATATATATATATATATATATATATATATATATATATATATATATATATATATATATATATATATATATGTACCGTATTTGCCTTTCTCGCAATTGAAATTGAATTTATCAAGCTTACATTTAGCAATCGTTTGATAAGGAATAGCACAGCTCAAGATAATATATATTATGCACATTCAAATACGCTGTGACATATGTTCTATGCTCGACGGTTTATTTTATTTTTTATTTGTAAGGATGGATGATGACACACCCTGAAGGAACATCGAAAGGTGCATTGTGAACGATGACAATAAGTGATTTGTGGGATTGTTGTTTAATAATGCGGCATTAAGCAATTGGAGGGTTGGATGAGACGATTTAACCGTAAATTAACTATGATAAATGCTTTATGGATGAGGGAACGAAATTGTAATAATATTTGGAACAAAAATTTCATTGTTGAAATAACAAATTGAGAACACAAATGATTTTGATAAGCTGGAATCGATGTAAATCAGAGGAAAAAGAAAATCAATGTTTATTTTTTCCTTTTCAGGTACTCGTGTTGAAGATGCCAAAGCACTGATTGCGGCTGCTAATTTACGAATGATTTCATGCGATGACTTGGATCAAGCCGCGAAAATGGTTGTAAAATTGTCGGAAATAGTTCAGCTGGCACGATCGGTAGCAGTTGATGTCTCTTTCCAGCTTCCCTCTTGAATTTCGGTTCTAACAGAAAGTGATGCAAAGTTAGTATGCGATGTTAATATTAGTTTATCCTTTTTATCCATTTTGTTATTATATTTCTACGATCAGTTGAAACAAGAAAGTTGTCTGCCTTCGGTAGTGATTATATTGTCCTCATGCAAAGTGCTTGTTTGATTTTTCGTTTCGGATGAAAAAAAATAATATTGCGCTTAAAATGATAGATAATTTTTCCTACCTCTTTGCATTTTTTCGTTATTAATGAATTTATGCTAGAATATGATTAACATTATTAAGCTGCTTAACTTCTTGTTGAATTTTAGAGAATATGTAGCTAGCATGAATCTTGTTTTCGAAAGTTAATAAAAATAAAAGAAATTCAAGAAAAGTGTTCTTCATATTCTAGTAAAATGTTAAGGTTTTGATATTTTTCTAGTAAAATTAGTGAATTTTCTTTTTATTTCAGAAAAACATTCATAATAGTAAATGCGTTTTTTTTTACTATTTTGACAACCGGGTAAAAAGTGCGTATGTGGAAATCGAACCTTTTATTAGTCGGAGAAAAAATTTGGTTTACATATTCAGTAATAATGATGTTTTTTGATTGCCTGTTTATTGTTTTTTTTTCCTGCGTGCTTATTGTATCATTTGTTTATCACTTTTTTTTTTACCTTCTTCTTTATTACTTTTTTTTTTTGCTCCGTTAGCATCGATGAAAGAGGTCATTAGTTCATGAGGATAAACCCCATTAATTTATGTTTTGTTATTAATTATTCAAGGAATATTTTCATATTTGCTTAGGTAGGATTTCTCACTACAAAAAGAAAAAAAAAACGAACTTTTCTTTTGGTATACATTTTAAAATATAGCCATTTATATTTTTCAATAAAATTTTCTCGACAAAAATATGATAATATACATTTTATCAATACTTATTTTACTAATAATGATTTCTTTCATCTTTTTATGTGCCGTTATCCGATGCTTAAAAATTTCCCGCAAGGTTATGCTTGCCTGGTCAGTTCGAATGAAATAATTGTACTATCATCGAAATGTCAGTCAAGTTTCATATGATTGCTTCCTCCTCGTACATTTTTCAGAAATAATTACAATAGCTCAAATTAGTGCTAAAATAGCTTGTGCTTTTGTTCTTTTTTTTTTGAATTTGAATTATTAACATTTTGAAAAAGCACTTAATGTTCAATTGTATACAGATGAAATTTCTCCATTCTACTTAAATGTCATGCTCTTGTAGTACATTTAACTGTATTTTTTAATGCATAAATATAATATCATTGGTTAATCTTTAGTAGTTAATCAAATAACAACAAAAAATATGCTTTTTTTAAAGTTGAAATATTCTATTTAATCAAGTACCATAATCATTATCATTATTCTAATATGTATTTTTTTAGGAGGTCTTTTATTTGATATTATTATTTGCTTTAGTGATTTATTTCTATCTCTCCATTTAGCCATTTTTTTTGTAAGAAAAAAAAATTTTTATCTTTAATGGACTGTTAATTGTGGTAGACATTTTTATTTAGTATTAATATTTCAGACTGAACAAATATATAGATGTATTAATATTCCTAACGACAATTTGTTTATTTAACAGATGAGAGGTACGGTGAAAAATTTGTCGCTTTTTCGTGATTTTCAAAGTATGCAAATAAACGTTCTATTCTTTTCAAACAATTTTCAGCCTTTCAAATGAGTATTTTTTTTTTTTTTTTTTATTTAAAACATCCGTATGATCAGTTTAGTTTAATAATATTTAATTCAGTGCTAAAAAAAGAAATACTGGCAAATAAAAGACTACCATTGTACTGTAAACTGATGTAAGTCGTTTGTATCGGTTGAAATTCCTACATTGAATTTATTTGTGATTATAATTTAGGCATAATATTTTGCTAATGAGATTTTCCCAAAGAGAAATTTTAGGGTTTTTTTTTTTATAATTTGCGAGCAGTCTTTCCTAATAACTTTACTTAATTACAATATGCATAGTTTCAAAAAGTAATAAGTAAGGTAGTAAAAGTTTGGAAATTAAGTTCACATGTGCCATGTGGAATAATACCGTGATTTTTTTTTTTTTTGAATTTCACATTTGCTTTTCCGTCAGACTGCGAATCTCATTTCAAACTTGATCAGTTATATTGCAATTATAATCATTTGTATTGATCGTATTTCAGGTTACTTACGTCTAATACCATTCATCCGTCGAACGGAGCATTTTAATAGTACTCTTTTATGGATTCATTTTTTTGTCTAATTTTTCCATTTAAAGCATTAATTGTCTGAAATATTTTAACGTTTTTTCTTTATTTGAAAAATATCTAATTTAGCTTGGAGTATTTGATAAGTTAATTTAATTTTTTAATATCTGATAAGCTTGCTATCATATTGTAATACACTTAGTGGATGTATATTTTCCTTCACCTACACTAAAATGTGATAATATGTATATCAAATATTAGATGAAATACAATAATATGTGGGAAATTTTTTCTAATGCAAAAACCATAACAATAAGGATCCATTGATTTTTAATAGATGGCTCTTCCTTTTTTTTTAGTTTATTTATCAAACAAATAGAAATTAAATAAGCGAAATCAGGTCAAAAAGTCGTTTCTTCATCTTTTTATCTAATTACAACAACACGAAAAATAATAGCTGGTAATTAAAATAATAAGGATGATTATAAGTCCCTTAATTTATACCATGCAAACATTCTTCGCGAGTTATTTTGCTCAAGCTTTAAGATTTAAGTAACATTAACGATTAGTAATTTCGTTTAATTCTTTTAAAAAATGATCATTTAATGTTATTTTCATAAATTTAATTCTTTTTAGGACTAGCAACCATGGCAACTTTAACAATAAAGCAAGGCATCGATCTGGAGTTACAACTCTCCAAAAATACTCAAATTTTACTAGTAGGAAAGAAGAAACTTCTCAAGAATATCAAATTCACTGATGATATTATGACAAAATTTTCGGGTTTTGTCACTTCGAAAACTTGGAATTCATTAATGGAAGTATTGGCTGAAGATAATTCAAAAAAAATACCACTTCATTTAAATTTAGCCACTGTTTGTTTTTAAAATTATTTCCTTTTTTCATCCTCTTTCTTGAATAGTTTACAATTTAAAACATATTAATTTTTAATTTGATCACTGAAATTATAAAATTATGATCACTTTTAACCTTTTTTTTAAATATGATTTTGTTCATCTTGAGAAATGAGGAAATTAGTTTGGTGAAGTAAACGAAATGTTTCCAGTAACTTTTGGTGTTTGCTTAAGAAATTAGTTTGGCAAAGTAAACAATTACTTCCAGCTTATATTTACAGTTTTTGGGTTTGCTTAGAGAATTAGTTTGATGAGGTAAACGAAATGCTTCCAGCTTATACTCACAACTTTTGGTATGCTTAGAAAATTAATTTGATGACATAAATCTTGTGGTTACACAAAAGCATATTCATCATACCTTCCTTTTCCTTTGATTGTTATCAAATTGAAAAGAGTAGAAACTTCGAAAGCTTATAAAACTATGGATATTATCTGGAGAAGATTTAGGAAAATTGGTTGATATTATAGCTTACAAGTTAAACTGAAAAAGAAGATAGCACTGATTAAATGAAAGACTGAAATAATGAATTTAAAAAAAAATGATATTCTTGTACTAAATATTTATGTTATAGCATTGTGAATTTAAAAAAAATTTAAAAAAAAATTTAAAAAAAAAGAATGATATTCTTGTACTAAATATTTATGTTATAGTATTGTGAATGAATTATATGATAGTTTTTAGTTTGCATATTGAATAAAATTATATATGATAAAGAATTGATCAGTATCTTTTCTAAGGACTTAATTTTAGATTAAATTTCTTTAATATAAGATTTGCTTCATAGATTGAATTTGGATTTAAGGTTATTGCTGTGGGAGATGAATCGAGTCGACATAATGCACCATCAAATGCTTTATCAATTTTCAAAGAGGTCAAGAAGGCAAGTCAGACAGAAAATGGGATTAAGGTTAGATTTCCTTACTTACATTTGTCAATTAATGATGTCATACGTTGCCAGCGGCATAATTTCAACATGCAAAGATTCATTTCTTGTTTCACTATACTGTAGGACATATCCCAATGATTCAGGAAGAATAGCTGTAACGGACTAACTAAGGGGAAGATAATAGACGGAAGGTCCATTCATGAATTATCAAATGAAAGCAAACCGTTATCAAAAGTAAAATTCATATAGGCTAATAAATTATTAGCATAGATTATGAGTATTAGACAATGTCAAACCAACATTTGCCTTATTTAAGAAAAAATATGTGATTATTTTTTTATTTAAAGCTATTCATTCTATATGATCCGTCCATTTATTAAACTATCATCATAAATTTTCTTTTTTTTTTAAAAAAAATTCATTCCTATTAAATTTTTAAATTTTAAAGAAAATGAAATTTTAAAAAAATTTAAATTTAAAAAAAATGTATTTTAGAATGTTTCAATCGTTTTATATGCAGTACTAGCAGATCTATTCCCAAGTGTCGCTGCAATTGCACGTTGTTATCCACTTTATAATCGATTAACCGAAAATGCTAACGATTTAGAAAATGTTCAAATTGAAGTTGTTGTTACTGATGGCGAGGTATATTTTCCGTTCTAGAATGTAATTTACCCATTTCTTCTGGTTTCTTTTTTTTGTCGTTTTCAAAATTAATAAATTTATCTGTCATATATGATATTACAATATATTAAGCATACTTGCCGAGGATTCTTTCAATTATACGACATTTTTAGCTCATCATTGATACATTTGAACTCTTAGAAAGCTCTTCTAAAACTTATCACTTGTACCTGAAATTTATTTAATTCATTTTTCTAATCTAATAGTAAAATGGTCAAAGTTTTGGAGGCCTTTATATGTTTGAATTAGGTTAGAATATAATAGTTACCGAGATAAAGTACCTTATCTATCTTTGTTAATAATTTTTTATCATTATTATTATTATTATTATTACTATGCAGAAGCTCACTAATCGTGATCTGTTGTTCCTCCAAACGTTAACAGAATCAATTCGAAACACTGCTCGTCTAATTGATATACCATATAACGAGCTTAATACGGAACAATTCGTTGCTGAGGCTAATGAACTAATTTCAACACTTCCGAATATACAAACTACAATTATTAAGGTTAATATATTCATAATTTGAGCCAAATGACAAGAAATGATTAAGCAACTGATATTATAGGTTTATAGCGTGGAAGCTAATACTCGATATAAAAATGGGCTTCATATTCGCTTAGATTAACAGTGAAATCCATGCCAATAATTTAATAATATCACTGAAAAAAAAAAGTGCTCTTTACCCCTATCGTATTTTAGAGTTTCCATTATGGATATCATCTCTAGAAGATTTAGCTTTCATCTTTATCACTTTAGGATTTAACCTCAAAAAAGTTTTTTCTTTTATTTTTTTGAACTAATTTACTAATTTATTGATACAAAGAATATCGAAAAGTATTGAAAAAAATGGGTTGATATTCAGTGCTATATTTTTTAATGATAATATAATTGCGTCATGTGCAATGATCATCAATGAAAGCTTGAAATATCATATGGACTTTTGATTGATTGCTATAATTCACTCTTTCATTAAGTTTATTTTTGGGATAATAGTACTTTAAGCATAATTTTTCGTTAATTTCAGGGCAATGATTTACTTAAAAAAGGTTTTGGAGGGATCTATCATGTTGGTAAGGCATCTTCTTCACCACCAATTTTCGCATGCTTTAGTCATAAACCACCTAATGCTACGAAAACATATGCTATGGTTGGGAAAGGCATAGTATATGATACAGGTGGTATGCAGATTAAAACAAAAACCTTGATGCCTGGTATATATATTTTGCACTATTACTTTATTATTTATCGAATTTTGATATTAAGGGCAAATGTTTAGTTTGAGCCGCAGTAATGTTATCAGTTAACTAGAATTGATGTTTTTTTTTTTGAGACAAAAAGAGAATGAGTCCAATGAATAACTTGTATTTAATATTAAAATAATGTTTGGAAATATGCATATCATCGATAAATTGTTTATTTGGGTAATGTAGTTATTTAGAAAATTGGATAAGTTTAGTTCAATTTGTTTACATTTAAATATGTGCAAAATTTAGCTAGTTTTGTTTAACTGATGAACTTAAATGTATTTCCTTTTATTCCATAAGGAATTATTTAATGAGCAAGAATAAGCTTAAATATGAATACGAATGATATGATTGCTAGATTTTAATACATAGAATAGAATATCAAGTTTTTTATTTTACTTTCATCATAATTGCGAGGAAAATATCGAAGTGAAAAGAAATGGGAAGAGAAGTATGGGTGGAAAGCAAATAGACAAATTTTAACTAAATATTCTTAGTATTTCAAATAAATTAAATCAAATTTGCTTGAATGAATTTACAAATTAAGATAACTTATCGAAGATATCTCGTTTAATGCGTTTTTTGCTTTGTCATTAATTGCTCCAATATTTTTATGTTAAATAATGACTGAATGTGTATTGGATACAGTTAAATAGGTTAGTCTTTGGTAAAATAAAGAGAGTTGATTAATAAAGCTGCCAAGATATGTCTTTAGTTTAAAACTATTAATAATAATCCAAGTGATCCGATATTTGTCAAGTCTGGAAAGAGAAATGTCTCTTTCAATTTTAGGTATGAAGAACGATATGGGTGGTGCAGCTGCTTTACTTGGTTCATTTTATACTTTGGTGAAATTGGGCTTTAAACAAAACTTACACTGCGTACTGTGCGTCGCAGATAATGCTATTTCGCCAACTGCAAAGTATTTAATTTCTTCTTTTTTGCTATTGATAAATTTTTCAAAAGTTAGGTATTAGCCAGCCTTTTCTTTGGTAGGTTTGAGTAAATTCTGGGTACTGAAGAAGAGGGATTTTCGAAACAAATAATTTAAATGAAAAAACGATTTAAATTAATTCGTTGAAGCAGCTTAAAAATAATCCATAGTAATCCAGAAGTAAAAGAGAAAATAACAAAGTAATAATAAAAAAGACGGTAGAAATTGAAATATAATGACAATCGGAAGAGAACGAAAATGATTAAGAAGTATTTTTAAAAACTTAAAGTTCAAGGATTTTATTCTTCAAAATAACCTGTTTGCTAGCACCTTTTTTAAAAACTTTCTTTGTTCATCGTTTTTTTCTTTCAAATTTCGGTTTTAGCCGTCCGGATGATATCATAACGTTGTTAAGTGGTAAAACGGTTGAAATCACGAATACGGATGCTGAGGGTCGCTTAGTATTAGCTGATGGTGTTTATTATGCAAAGAATATGCTCAAAGTTAGTTTTTTAATTGTTTTAACTTTATAATAATTAGAAAAAAAGTTTTAACTTGAACTTATAGTTGTAGTTGTACTTTCAGATTACTTTTAATAAAAAATGTTATCTATTTGAGTTACCATTAAAGGTTGAAATATTTTTATACATCCCGTATTCTACGTTTCATGATTTTACAGAGTTTCTTTTTTCTTTATATATGTAAAGCAATTGATCAAAGAAAATATGAGGAATGGAACGAACAGGATATATAGCAAATGAACCGTTACAAGAAAGATAAAATTCGTTAAGCTATTTAATTACCTCAGTTCAGATTGAATATGCCAGTTTCTGGCAGGATTTAAGGTTTTATTTGTTGGCATTTTTTCCTAAATTCAATTTCAGGCTGACATAATAATCGATATGGCAACATTAACAGGTGCACAAGGACTTGCAACTGGAAAACTTCATGCTGGTGTACTAACCAATAGTGAAGAATGGGAAAATCGTGCTTGTAAAGCTGGACGAGCTAGTGGTGATCTTGTTCATCCATTACCATTTTGTCCAGACCTACATTTTGATGATCTGAAAAGTCATATAGCAGATATGCGAAACTCAACTTTTAACAAAACACAGGTGAAATTTTTTTTTCCTATTTTATGGAAGATAATAAATTTGATGTTAATTTAAACAATAGATGATGATTTTTGCGGATCATATTTAGGAGGTTCAGTTGAGAAAAAGGAGTTGTTTTGGTGTGAATTAACAATGAATTGCATTATAACTACTTAAAACTGTTATCACTGTTTCAGCTTTTTCTTTTCACTTTGATAATTATCATTCTAATTGAAAGCGAGAATTCAGGGACCTGGAAGCTCAATCGCTGGTCTATTCATTGCATCGCATATTGATTTTGGAAGCGGTTTAGATTGGATACATTTTGATATTGCTTCTCCTGTGGAAAATTCCAATCGTGCAACAGGTTATGGACCGGCTCTAATTTGCGCTCTTCTTGCATCCGATCTCGATGTGCCTCTTTTGAAAACTTTACAGTAAATGATAAGTCGATCTTATGCATTACATGTTATATTGCAAAATAACGAAAAAAGAAGCAGTTTGATTAAAGGTCAACTTAACTTTTTTATCCTCTTCTAATATTATCAGGAATATCAAGAGATGGTCGAATTTTTGTTTCCATAAAAAATTAGAAATCAAATTTTCTTTTCTACTGTCCTTTAATGAAAGGTTTTGTCTTGAAAGGTTTTTTTTTTCGAATAACGAGAAGTACAAATGATTATAACATCTGGTTGCCTTTTTTACTTTTTTGCATCATTGCCTAGATTTGAAACTTCATCGTAATTTTCGTTTTTTTTTCGTAATTTTCAGTTATCATTTTCGTAAAATGTAAGGTAAAGTAATAGAAATATGTTATAATTTGTTTGCAAAATTTTGAATAAATAACAAAGTGAGAGAATAAAAGAACTTCATTTTAATAAAAGAAAAAAAATGGAATTAATAAATGATTTTGTTGATTATGACAATTTAACAAATTCTTATGAAAATTCAACCGTCAAACTTACTTCATTCCAGAACGCATCATAATTCCTGCTTATCTACACTGTCATGCATCAGGCGACGATGTTAACTATAAGAATTAGTTGTTAAAATTGAAATCACGATCACATCTGTGATACTAATTTTCTTCCTGAAAACTAGTAAAATTGATGAGAAGAAAAATAAAAGTTTTAATTCTATCTTTTCATAAATCAATAATCTTTTGCAAACGTATATACAGAGATATATTTAAATAGATATGCTGTTGGTTATTAAATTATTATTGGAGAATACTACTACGGTATACTCTAACAATCATCTGGGTAAAAGTTTTATTTTTTAAAATATTACCAATCAAAGTTTCAATCTTTAAATGATTTGTATAAAACGATTGGATCATATGGTTTATGAGATAGAAATATTTACGAATTAAATTACCTTATGAACAAAATAAATTAAAATATGATATGAAAGATTGTTATAAGAAAAAAAAAAAAGTTGAGATTGCAATGTTGGATACTGAATTGTTTACGGTAAGAGTTACAATTAAAATATTTATTAATCCAATGAAAGATTACGATTGCATCACTTTGATACATTCTGATGAAACCGAAAAATGAAATCAATTAGTATCGTATTAATGGTTTTTGAAGTCCCTAACTGTTATTCTAAATATTATTCAAATTGTATTACTATATTTATTCTACAACCAGACAATCCTTTGTAAGTTTCTTCTAAAAACCATTCGCAAATCGATAAATTAAATATTGTAAGCAGGTAAATAGTAAACATATAAATAGATACATAAATAGATGCCGTAAATAGGTAACTATTAAACAAATGAATAAATAAATACTTAAATAGATAAATAGTAAATAGGTAAATGAATACTGTGATAACATACTCTCTTACACCTTGATAAGTTTACATAGTCAAATTTTGCAATCGATTTAATCATATTTTCAAGTTGATGCTAAAGATTAAGTTAATAATTGCTTAATTGAGAATGTGGGAGGAAATAGATTAAAGATAATTCATATCAACACAAATTATTATTAGTATATATCAAAGATACTGGAAATATGATATGAACAGAAAGGTTTTTTCTTTTCAATTTTTTTGAATTTTTTTCAAACAAAATTGAATTTTGATTTTTTCGAATCTTCAATTTTTTTGAATCATTTAATTTTTTAATTTTTTCAATTTTTTTTTCAAAAATTTTCCAAAACTATTTGAGAAACGGGAGAGTCTAAAGAGTGGGAGAGAAAAGATGAGATAAGAAAAGAGAAGGAAATTAATTTATAGTATAGGATGATATTATGATTAATTTAGCTATTCTTCTATTATTTC